AATATGTTTTAGTAGCGAATATAAAAAAAGTATATAATATTTTATCTATTTTATGTTTTTGTTCCAATTTAATTTTTATACATAGTTTTTTTTTTTTACAAAGGTAATGCTTAGTAAGTTAGTATGAATTAGTTGTTAGCAATTGGTTCTTAGACCGGGTGAATATTTCACCCCCTCAAATGAGGCGCGCGGCCATCAGGTCACTTTTTGGTGAAATTCACAACGGTGGTGGAGTTCGAAATTCCAATCACTTTACCCAAGCACTTAAGGTTTAGGGTCGAATTATTGAGCCTAAAGGCCCGGTTCAATTTTTATACATAGTTATATTTGATATTTTTATAAAAAAATAATAATTAATCTAAAAGATATTAGTACTCTCCTTATCTTATAATAATACTTTCTCTATCTTATAATAATAATTGTTGTTTTTTTACTTTTTCTTTAAATTAAAAATTTAAAGATTATTTATGTATTTAGCTATATTACCTTAAAAAATTAAAAAATAAAATAAAATTTTTTGTGATAGGATAATTAATCAAAATAAATAAATAATGTAGGGTTAAAATATGAAAAGATATTTATTTACTTTAAAAATGAAAAAAGACAATTAATTTAAAGTAAAAAAATGACAATTTTTTGAGGGAGTAAATGTTTTTTTATTGATAACTTGTCCAATTTAATTGTCACTTTTTTAATATTTTAAAGGAAACTAATGTTTTTCCTATTTTAATTTTACCATTATCCTTTAACTTTAATTATCCAACGTATCATAAAAAGCCTCTCTTTATCTTTATAACATATTTTAAAGAGAAATCTGGATAAAAATATAAGTTATCTCTAAATTTTTAGTATAAAGAAAACATAAAAAATGTGGTTTTTTTTTTATACATTAAAGGGTTAATTACTTGACAAATACAGAAGTTTGATCTTGATCTAACTTTGATCTCAAATTGTAGATACCAATTTGACTAAGTTCTTGTGAGTAAAAATTTTTATTAATTATTTTGAAACAAATAGAGTAGCTTAGTTTATAAAATGGCTTATTTCTTTAATTTATCTATTAAAATTACATTTTTTAAAGATATTATTTTTTATTTTAAATTACACAATAATAAATAACTCTTTTGGATCCTATATCTTATTCCATTTACATGTTATATAACAATCTTATAATATTTTATTTTTATTAAAAAATTATTATTAAATTATTTATATCGATCAATGACTTAAAAATGCTAGTTAAGAAATGTGTTTTGTTTGGTAGCGCTAAGTTGTACTAATTTGTAGATTTTTTTTGTCTTTTTCTATCCTAAAATTTTATAAAATATTAATTAAAATTAATTATTTATTATAAATTAAAA